CGCTTAAAAAAATTCTCATCTCAAAACATTAAAAAGACCCCTCTTTTGAGAAGATTATAATTTTGTTGTCATTTCTTCCTTTCCATCGATTAGCAATAAAACTGCACGTATGTGACAGAAATTCAACATTGGAGGTTTCCTCTTCTGTCAATAAAATTCGCATTTATATGCCAAAGGACCCTATTCCAGAAAAGAACTTCTGGGTTTATTTATATACAGGATTCCTTGACATTGTCGTTTGATTTATAGGGGCCAAATTAAAAAAAGTTTTAAAATTTCGCTTTTAGGAACACGAGGCTTATGTTGTAGAGACTTTAGGTCATTTCGAAGCAGGAGAGATGAAAAATGAGCAATGACTTCGCCGAGACTCGAACCATGGATCTCTCGAATACGCGTCGAGCGTGCTGACCTCTACACCAAGAAGGCATACTAAGAAGGCGGGAGAAATACCTTACCTACTACCTATTTTAAAGGGCTACTGTGGTTTTAGAGGACGCAATCGTAAATCTTGGTGGTGAAGACTCATCATTCACCACCTTTTTTTTCAGGCGGGAGAAATACCTTATAATGTTATAAAAAAAGAGACGCATAAGACCTCTGTTGCCCAACACTGTTGGTCAGAAAATCGCATTTCTATTTTTCTGCAGCCAAAATTTTTCAAAAACATCTTCCACTGGAGAATTAGATTTTCCACAGGCGATTCACGTTCATAAAAATCTTTCAGTTCTAGGTAACGATCTCAATTCCAATCCGTCTTTATCCTCATCTTTAAGGAAATTATTTCATAGCTCTTTTCACTTTTCTTCAATAGATAAGCCAGTAGCTTGACTTCCTTTCTCTGGTTTTTATCGCCTAATCTTATATTATAAATGGATTCTATTTCGTCATCTGCATTTCTACAGCTGAAGAAGAATGTTCTATATTAAACCTCCGAAACTAGTCCTGCAAATTTTCTCTGATTCTTGTTACTTTAACTCCTCTGCCAATGGAATTTTATTAAAAAATTTCAGCCTTACCAATGGCCGAGTGCTGGTCGATCGCAGAATGCTGTTAATTCGACTCCGTTCGAAAAGAGCTGGCTGCATGGATGTTTTTGTGATGATTCTCAAGTGTAACTTGAATAAGAACCAGTTTTCCCTGAGAAAGTTCACAATGAATGCATCTGTTCCTTCGGCAGATTGCTTTTGTGTGTTTTGCCATAGCCAAATAAACTAACACCTTAAAAAGTTTCATGTAAACTGTTACTTTTTCAAAACTCGTTCAAAAAAAAAAAAAAAAAAAAAAAAGATAAATAATAGCTTTTTCTCTTAATATATGATTACTACACTTAACTTCTTGATATATTAACTAATAGTCCGGCGAGATGCTAGGTTATAAGTGGGCTTTAAATACCTCATCGGTTGTCTTTTAAACGACTCACTCTTTCTTTCTTTATAACTTCACATCAGTAGTAAAAGTCGCTTTTAGAAGAGCTTAATTCCATTTCATAATATCAAGTTTCATAATAATCATCGATATCTGTGGTGCTGGTATAGGTTACGCCCTCTGCCGCTAAATATCGTGCAGGAAACATCATTGGTATTAGTTGCACGCAGGATGTCACTAAGTACAAAGTTATCTGGTATCGAGAAATGTGCAATCGTCGGGTATCAAAGAAATGGCCTATCCTTAAGAATATATCTAGTGAGCTGAATTAACTAGAATCGACAATGGTCTCTGTGATTCAGAAGTAGAAGGTCAGCAGTGATTGTCGGAATGTACCTCGAGACGGTATTCCCAAGAAACTCAGCCCACCAGCGGCCAAGCGGTAAAGTCGCTGAACACTGGTAGTTTGGTCCGAGGTTCGAATCCCGCGAACGGGCTGGCTGCATGGGTGTTTTCGTGGTTTTCCTCATGTGTAACGTGTATACGAGCCAGTTTCCCTTAGAAAGTCCTCCACGAAGGCATTCCTCCCCTTAGGCAGATAGCCCTAGTGTGCTTTGCCATAATTAAATACACCACCACACCAACACCACCTCAAGAAACTGAAAGATAAGAGACCAACGGGTGCTATCCAGGAAAATTCGGAAGAAACGCGCCAACTGATGGCTCACATACTCCAAGAGTCAATGGGTATCCGAGAGTATTGTTTCGATGAATACCGTCGGTAAGACAGCACATCTGCTTGGTTTTCATGGTCGCATTGCCACCCATGAGCCTTTGATCACAAAGTCTAACCATACTGCTTGTTTAATGTGGTGCAGGGCACGTCGACAGTGGACTGTAGACCAGTGGATACTTGTTCTCTGCAGCGACAAATCAACATTTAACATCTACCGTTCGCATGGGGCAGGGTCTGGGTCTGGCGACTGCCTAGAAAAGCGTCTCTTGGCAGAATACCAATGTGCCCACTGTAAAGCTCGGCGGAGGTGGAATTATGGTCTGGGAGTGTTTCTCCTGGTATGGACTGGAAGCCTTCATCCAAATTCAAAGTATGTTATATAGTGATGCCTACTGTACTATTTTGGATGAGAGTGTGCTTCCTACGATGTGGCAGTTTTACAGGTTGGACCCATGTCACTTTCAGGACAACAATGAAGCTATCATGTTGCGAGGTTCACCATGGATTGATATGGTAATAATGGAGTCAGCCCAAATTTGAACCCAATCGTGAACCTCTGGGAAGAGCGGGATTTCCGAATTAAGGGGTGCAATAACCGTCCAACATCGGTGAAGGAATCTTACATATCTTTTTCTCAAGCCGAGTGGAAGAAAATACCAATAGCTGTCGTACAAGGACTTGTAGAACGCATGCCCCTGAGGTTTGAGGCTATAACTGCTGATTATGGAGGCTCTATCAGCTATTGAATGTGAACTTTGTTTTTACTTTCTATCAAGAGGTATCCAAGTACTTATTTCTAGATAGTGTAGATTTGTGTCTTTAGACTCGTTTTAAAAGACACTGATGCATTAAAGCTTAAAATACTTAATTTAACGTTGATGTGAAGTTATAAAGAAAGAAATAGTGAGTCATTTACAAGACAACCGATGAGCTATTTAAAGCCCACTTGTAACCTAGCACCTCGCCGGACTATTAGTTAATATATCATGAAGTTAAGTATAGCATAACAAATCATATAATATTAGATGATTAATGATAAATGCCACTTAGAAGGCTCAGAAAATACCTAAGAATATTAAAGAACCGAAAACAAAAATAAACTAAAAGTTAATATGATTATGCAAAATTGGTGTTTCGAGGAAAATGTGTTTGCACGTTTAACATTTCAGGAAGAACCGAGTTACCTGAGAATTCTTTTACGTGCATTTCCTTTTCCTCGTAGTACTACGCATATATGCTATGCATATTCTTTCTGCATAGAATCTTTTTGTGCACAGCGTTGGAAGATGAGTTCTGTAAAAGTCCAACACTGGGAAAAATGAGAAACATAACACTTCTTTTATAAGTCTCTGACAGAATAGAAGTGTCTCTTTCTGCAAAAAGTCACGCATAGACTTTATGCATAGGTGCAGAGACATTCTGCTTAGTGTTTCTTTGTGCATAGTGTAGAAAAACACGTTTAACGCATTTTGGGTAAAACCGAGTTGCTTAGTAGTCACTAAAGAATGTGCATCTCACAGAGGATGCACTTCCCTTCTCTTTCTCTTTTTTCTTTGTTATACATCAGAAAACAACATAGAAAATGTGTTTAGTTTCCAACAAGGGCAAAAACTTTAAATTCATGAATCTGACGTGGTGCAGATGATTAATGTGTGTGAATATGGCAAAGCCTCGAGGGCTATCTGCCTAATGGGAGAAATGCTTTCGTGCAGGACTTTCTAAGGGAAACTGGCTCGTATACACGTTACACATGGGGGAAACCACGAAAACGCGCGTACAGCCAGCCCGTTCGAGGTATTCGAAACTCGGACCGAACTACCAGTGTTCAGCGACTTTACCGCTCGGCCGCTGGTAGGCGGCAGATGATTAATGAATCAGCTTAGGTAGCTATCGTTCTTTTTACGCATTTAGAAATTGTTTGTTGACTGAAGAAAATAGACAACGCCTTCCTCTTTGTTAGAAATCGCGAAAACTTCATTTATCTTTAGAAATTTCTTTGAACAATGGTAAGCTTTATCTTCACAAGAATTTGATCAAAGCAAATATTTCAGGCAATTAGCAACTATAAATATGTACATCAAACGTATTTAGCACTGGAAGTTTCCTAATTGAATTTAAATTACGTTTAATAAATAATTTTGTTATAAATATATTCATTGATAACCATATTCCTTTCACTTCTATATACTATGTTAGATATAACGGATATGTTTACCAAAGAGTGAAATTTTATCGTAAAACGTTTATACAATTGACGTACCTACAAAATCAGGAATAATTGTATAAATGCATGTTTAGCTAGGCCATACTTAAATCCTATAGTTCAGAATCCCTCATTCACCAAGGAAGGCTTCTGTAAATCATGAAGTAGAGAGCTAATATATTTACTTGAATATAAGTTCCCTTAAACTATATGTTCCCTTAAAAGGTCTTCTGGAAGCCGCGTCCGTCTTATATGCTGATATTGATGCGTAGTATGTGTATTAATATAATATACCATTAACATTTTAACATTTGTTTAAACGAAAACATATTTAATTAATAACAGGATTAATATATTGAACGCCCAATATCTTCAATTCCCAATCCTTTTTTTTTTTTTTTTTTTTTTTTTGTAAAACACCTGATAAATGCTACTTCGTTTTATAAATGATCCCTTCTTATATTCAATGTTACATAATATGGGAGCTCATTTAGCTCAATGTTATCAGTGCAGGAAAGTCTATTATTTCTTAATTTCGTAGTATAAAATTTCTTATACCTTAAAACCTTCTTATATCTGAAATTTTTTTATGAATGTAGCAATTATAAAATATCAAACTTATAAAATTTAAAAGAGACTTAACGGAAAGAATAAGAGTGCATAATTACACATTTTTTTTATCAATTGAATACTCACATTAACATTCCTTGATAAATGAAAAGTATCAGCTTTTCTCCTTAAATAAACATCTATTTCATTCTCCAAGTCTTTCAAAGCTGTACCCCCGTCTTCTGCATCTGTCACTTGCAATAGACACCGTATACTGTGCTTTATATCTGAAACATTGTTCTGGACGGATCGGAAAGCTAACTAAAATAACAAAATAAAAATACTGACAAATACATATTTTTATTATAAACTTTAAATGCAATGAATAAATTCCACATAAATACTATATATTTATGCAAAGTATCATTTAAAGCTGAAGAGCAAGGCGCTATCATGCACGTAATTTTTTTAAAGTAAAAGAACATAATTTTGTACAACTATATGTAATCTAATTGCTTTTTTTTACATTGTGTTAACATTCTTATTTCTAATGAAGTAGTAGAGATCTTTACAAGCTAAATGACCGAAAAATATATTTTTGTAAAATTAATTGCAAAAACAGTTCTTAATGTGGAATACATCCTTCTTGAGCATGAATATATATATATATATATATATATATATATATATATATAGGTTTCCTTTATGATGGTATACTGTCAGTTAAGCTTAATCGGAGGCAAATGTTTTATAAAACTCAAATATAGCAATGGCTTCCTGAATAAAGGTCAGTGATCAGCCGTATTTCTTCCTAGGTAGTACCTCAAGGCTTCAGAAAACACGGTCTGATGATTGAGCTGCTTATTTTATTGAAAGAAATAAACTGGCTGGGGATGATTAGGGAAATTGGGCATTATGTTTTATTAGAATAAAGAATAACTAATTACGGGAGCATACAACCTGACAAACTTACCAAGGAATTCATGTTGACTACTCTGAATATACGAGTAGTTTCATGAACATACTTGGAGGTCGAAAGAACCACTGGAAGGAATTCCAGTTATAAATCTATAACCTTCGAAATTATGCCTTTCAAGAATGATGGAGTGGCTGCATGTTATTCTTCACTCTCGTCATGCAAGGAAATCTGGATAAGTCAAATCGTAAACTGAACATGGTGCATCTGCAAACATAGTAATTTCCAGTGAACAAGTCTTCTTTCATAAGACATTCTGCGTAGAGATACAGGATCCAGTTGCAATTTGTACCCAGGAACCTTTCGCTCCCGTGAAGTAAGAGAATTCTTAGGCTAGGTACTACTTAGGTCTTAGTCAGGGTACTACTTGGGCTAGGCGGAAACGGCAAGCTACAACAGACATTTTTAAATAAAAGAACTAAACTCAGTATGAGTATGACGATCTTGATGTGCAGTATAATAAAGTAAAATTTGAGCTGATGCGATTCTTCTAAGTTAATTCTTAAATTACTTTTTATAGTAGAATCAGATATACTTCCAGTTAATATAACAGTGTTGGTCTACCAAATAAAGCACCGCTTTGATCCTTCTTTACCCTATCGAAAAGACAGAGAGTTGTCTTTAGATAGCTTACGTTGTGCCTACGATTTGACATTGGCTTTCATAAATTGAAACTTCGATCAAGAACTAATTGCTAGCTTGTGGACAGTGTAGAGGTTACTTTAAGTTTCTAACAGTTATTTTAAGTTTAACCATGTTTTACTGTCTATTCTCGTTTCCGATTTACTATTCTCTATCAGAATGATTTTTTAGTATCTCGTTTTATGCGAGTGAGTTAGAGTATTTAAGAAAGGTTCAACTTACTTCGAGAGAGATAGAATTATCTACATCTTTCCATGGAGATAAGTCAGGCACCGCATGGAACTCATTTATTTATCTGGGAAGTATCGTTCAGGCGATAGAACCCCAGAATAAACCGTATATAGCAGTATCGCAGTTTCGAAAGAGAGAGAGTGCTTAGGAGTCCTTAGTCGCACTTGGTTGCCATCTGACTACTTCGTTCGTAAATCCACTGCGCTCGGCCGTATGGTAGGTGCCTGTTGATAATCGCTGGCTAGGTTAAGGGATAACTACGTTAGGTATTTGTGTCTAGCTTCCGAGAAGCGGACATCTGTTATTACTTCTGAATAAAAGGGCATATTTAGCCCTTCTTTAGACTCTTCTTAAGACTTTTACTGAGCGATAATTAGCTATTTAGTTCAATAGGTTCGTCTACATTTGAACATAGACAGGGTACTGAGGCTGATTTATATAACAGCAACACAATATTTTGTTTTCTCAGCTGATGACAAATTCATTTTCATCTTTCTAACAACTTGCCAATTGCCGAATCGAATAAATTGGTTTTGCATAGTATTATCAACAATACAATTTTCGAAGCAATATTTGAAGACCTACTAAACTTTGTTGAAAAAAAAAAGCTGGTCCGGCTCCTTCTGTTTTACTCTATAATAAATTTTTAGAGAACGAACGGAAACTTTTATCTCTGCAACTCAGTTATTATTCGAGTGTTCCTCATCTCTTTTTGTAAATTATATTTGATACATGTAACTTATGTTTTTTTCATGTGTGAGACAAAAATAGGTCCCTTCTCTTAACTTTTGCAACTGTTTTGAGAATCCAGCTGATTGTGTTTAGCATACATGGATAGAAATATGCATACATATATACATGCACATATGAATAAATACGAAGTGCAAAGCAGTTCAAAACCTAATTCAATTTGGACCTGTAAGCAGCAACAAAAAATGATAATAATGAAAAAGAAATTGAAATAAATAATACGTTTAAAATCCCTTCTCTATTCTATTTGGTACAAATTATAAAGAAACAAAAAACAGAAGCACATTGGGAAACTGCATGAAAGAGACAAAAAGTGTTAAAACCAAAAATGAAAATATATATATATATATATATATACATATTTCGCTGCATCGTCATCAGGGGGTAGATGCAACGAAACAATTAAAACAAATAAGTCTGTTTCTAAACCAAGAAAGACTCAAATTGAAGTTTAATACTTAAAATAATCTCAGAAAATCAATCAAAGTAATCTTTGTCTTTACCAATATGACACCGTGTCTTCCTATTATGGAAGATCGGTACGGACACGTTCGAGTGTGTCGCTTGGTCAGCCCTTATAGGCCGTCATAAGTAGTGAAAAGATTTGTAAAATTATAGCACCAGAAAAGTTTTAAAATATTTAAGTAGACCGAGGTGCCGCCCCCCCCAAAAATCATATAAAACAAAAGCAATCCAATACATGAAAAAATAAATGAAAATTTGATCTAAAAATATAATAAAAAATGTAAAAAAGAGTTCGTTCTTAAAATCTGTAACATTAGAGCAACAGAAGGTTTGAAATGAAAAAATATATTCTACATATTCGGTTGCAAAATACTACTGCTAAGCCTAAAATATGCTAAGCGATAAAATTAGATAAAATACAAATTTTAAATTGATTAACAATAGTAAAAATAATTTAAAAAACTCTTATTGTAACATTAAAATATGTAGAAAAAATGAAAACTTTGTAAAAGGAAAAAAATTACCAGGATTACAAATCCTAAAAGAATTTCAATAATTAATCCCTTAGGTTAAGTTCGTTAGTTACGTTTAGTTCTTAGTTTAGTGTTTGTTAGTTTAGTTATAGTTAGTTTCTCACGGTTAGTTTAGTTAGTTTTAGCGAAGGCCCTCAATAAAACATAATGTGTTAGATATGGCAAAGAGCAATCTGAGTACTAGGAAATGTGCCGTCCCTGTTGCTGTAGAAGGATTACAGAATAGTGTACATCGTGTTTTGCAAGCCAAATCCTTATACCCGTATCATCTTCAAAAGATAACCATCACTACTCCCCACAAGGAGGTCAAGCAAGTATGTGTTTTACGCAGTGGTATCTCTACCTATGGGCCAAGATTATCATTTCCATATTAAATTTTGTTTTCTGATGATATTTCATTCCAGATGGTGTGTTTAATCAATGCAATGCGAATTTATGGGCTCATGAGAACACATACGGACTGACAGCCCTTGATGCCCAACAAAGCATTTCCAGCGAATATTCGTCGGCAACTGCTTAGGTGAGTCCCACCTGTTGTCATCACGTTTCACAGCTGCGAATTATCTCACCTTTCTTACACAGGTTCTACCAGGCATATTTCATCCTCTAGCACAAAATGTGAGACACAACATGGGGTTTCAACATGACAGCCTCCCCATTATGAAAGATATGTTCAGAAACATTTGAATATGTCGTTTCGTCAACGCTAGATTGGGCGTGGTGCATTGATTGCCTGGTCGCCACATTTTTCCGGATTTAAGCAACTTTGATTTCTTTCTTTAAAGCACTTACAGCTGTTTTTTTATGAAACCACTCTTGAGTCTGAAATGGATCTGGTTGCAAGAATCGTCTGCTCTGCTGTAGCTATCCAAGCAAATCCATGTTTTTTTGACCATGTAGTCCATTTTTCAATGTTTTTTGACCATGTGATTCGTCTGTATAATACAGACATAGCTTGTGATGGTGGAAACTTTGAATATCTTTTGTAACATTTTGAAATGGTATTATTTACAACATTATATGTAATATTTAGAGCAATAAATATGTTTGGCAATCTCTGTCTTGTGTCCCTTCATTTCGTGCATCGCTGATGCTACTTTCACACAACGTTTCTAATAATGGGTTGCTATGCAATTATTAATTCTTTTGATGTGCCGTACTTCCCCCTAAATTATATACCAATATTTATGAGATACCCCGGATTTTTAGGACTTTATTAAAATAATTATTTATGAATCGTTACATAAAATCATCAACTCCGTTGAAAATAATTTATTACACACTGCAGCTTAAAAGAGCAGTGATTAAATATTTTTTACAGTGAAAAGAATTTATGTACGCTTTAGAGCTCAAACGGATTTATTCTGCTATTGATTTGTTACAGAATTGAAATAAAATATATATAAAGCAGGCTTAGATATATTTTATCTATGAATGTATTTTATCCAATGAAAATAGTCTGTGTACATAAGGATAAAGTGATATACAATACATGAATTTAGCATTTAAATTTGAAGCAATGGAAAATTTCATATTATAAATCCGAAAATTTTAAAAACAATTGAAATAAATGTTTATACTTACAACAATAACTGAAAATAATATTTTTGATTTTAACTCATCGGCATCTTGTAATGCTGGTAACGCATCCAAAGCATCTAGAGTATCAACCCGAGCTTGAGCGTACAAGTTTCCATACTGACGAACCAGAGCCGTTGGTCTCCTCTCGCCGAGGGATATATTTTCAAATTTAGCTCCACGTTGCAGCATCTTTTGAGCTTGCTCAGCCAACCTGTAGAATTTCACCAAATTTGGTGAACATTATAAAGTATAATTGCTTTGCTTATTTGTTTATTTTCTGCAACACATAATGTCTAAAAACTTTTGCTATATTAGTTCAAACAAAATCTAGTACTAAAAAACAATGAAAATTTGTAAAACAAAATTATCCTGAACTGGTCATTAGAAGCCTCGGAAATCTATTTTCAAAAATTCTTCACTGCAAATCCTATTATAATACTATCCGTAAAATGAATACACCTTAACTTTCATAGAATGATATGAAGATTTTTCCGGTATGTTTGCATTTTAAAACGTTAACGTAACTGACACAGTCCATACTTCTTTCCCAAATCGGTCCTCTTCTACAGACTGATTCAACTCAGCTCTAAATTATTTATTAATGTAACAATAGGATAGCTTATAAATAAAAATTAGGACTCATATTAAATCAATATAGCAACAGCAAAATAAAGAGAAACGCTATCGTTGACGGACGTTATGTCCTAATGCATCAAATAGTTTCCGATTAAAGAAAGAACATATACAATGATACCTAATCAGTGTAGAGTCGATAGATAATATGGAACTATGGATTCAACACTTACTCATGGGATAAGCTAGCTTTGGAAAGCGTTGTTAGCTATATGAGCTTCAAAAAATTTAAATATATAGGAGTAACATTTATTCGACCGCCTGCTGGCGAAATGGCTAGCGCACCAGCACAGATCCGGGGTCCGATCCCCGGGCTGGGCAAGGTTGACTCAGTCTTTCGTCTCTTGAATGGGTCGATAAAATGAGTACCCAATTTGCGCTTTGAGACTAAATACCGGAAGTCCTGCGACAAGCTGACCACTTGCCCAGGGCATATGCTGATGCACTCTGGGGGTCCTAGGTCAAGAAAGCAGATTTTGGGGCACTGCAAGCTATGGTCCGCTAGGGCTGTTGCGCCAACCGTTTTAGTTTAATTTATTCATAATACTAGGGACTTTTTCCAACAAATTAAAGGGCTGGCTTGAAATAACTGCAGCAGAATAATTTACCCATAATTTCTTTTTTTTTTTTTTTTTAATATATCTAAAATATTTGCTCTTGAAAGCCTTTATACGTACAATATGAGTTTGAGCGAACAACATTTTCAAGATTAAGTTTCAGATTAATTAAAAAAAAGATTATTTCTAAAATTATTTTCGCATTTAAAAAGATTTCATCTCCTTCCAAACAAAGCTCGTGAACATCAATATTACGCATTAATTAACATACAATGTGGTAAAGCCATTCTGCCCATAAAAGAATTAACAAAATGCTAAAGAACGAGGCACTGTAGACATTTTCATCTTTTGATGAGTTAACAGACATTATGCTTTTATATCTTCCTATTAATTAAATAAGAGTACTTTAAAAATAAATGAAATTTTTATTTGTTGTTGCATTTTAATTATTATAAAGTTTAAATTATATAAAAGTTTCTGTCAAAACAAAATGAAAGCACAGAAGTGATCATATTTGCTGGCCCGTTCATAAAATTAAACTTAATTATAACACGTTCATATATTATCATGTAATGATTAGTTAATTACCTGTAAACTTCATGTTCTGTTTTTAAGGTCTTTGAACTTCAAGCTTTTATTTCGTATTTTCAGTGATGTACTTTGGTAATAAGAAATCGAAGGAAGCAAAAGAAAGAATCACCATCATTAAAGAAGGAAAATACATTTTAAAATCTCATTATTTTGAGAAATAGTTTCTAAATACTTTAAAAATTGGGAAAATTCAACTTCAGTTTGGCAAGAATTTTAAATTAAAAAGGCTCAAAGACCTTCTTCCTGAAAGACTAATTAATCTTGTAAAAGAACAAAACAATTTCAGTTTCAAAGAACTGAATAACTGTAGACGATAATTAACAAAAATTGGCATAATAGGGCAACTTTGTTTAAGCAATATCAGTACTGAGTTTTCTTTTAATATAAAGCTGCTTAATTGTGTTTAAGCTCAAGAGAAATATCTACCAAAGAAGATGCCTTTATGGAGAATTTTATAAATGAAACAGTGCACGTTAAACATAATTTCCTCCATGTGCAAAAAATGATGTTTTTTGTGTGTTTAATTTAAAAAAAAAACAAAAAAACAAAAAAAAAACAAAAAAAAAAAAACACTCAAAACCTTTTAAAGAACACACCACGATTCAAGACGGAAAAAACTACCTAATTACTTTTTTATTTATTCAGTTATTTAAGTATAATCATTTTATCGGGGGGGGGTTCCCACCGAAGGATGTATTGACCTTCCTTGGGTTGATGCCTAAGGCTGAAAATGAGGAAAGGGGTGGGGAGGGGATAGGAAGGGCCGGCATTGGATCGGCATAACAAATCTCATTGATTACATAAGATATAATAATAAAAGTTTGATAATTGATTTTCTTTATAAAAATATCGTGGGGGTGAAGAAGAAAACCTAAAACAATTATGAGAGAAATAGTATATTGTATATGTACTAAAATTAGTAATTCTCAATTGTCTGACCTAATCAGAGCAAGCGCAAGAATTATATCGTGCGAAGATATGCAAGACTATCTGCCGTCGGTATGAGTTTTCAACACCTACAACTTTTCCTAGTTTTAAAGGAGAGCACCCCGGTAAAGCGGGTCCGAGGGTCCTCCACCTCTCTTTCCCTATCGGGATTCGAGAGAATCTATCCATTCGAGAGAAATTTCGGCTAGCCACCTTCGGCACCATCTCAATGCTGTCATGGCCGCACAGAAACTAAACATTTGCAAATCCAGTATTCATGCCTTTTCCAGGATTCAAACCCAGGTCCTTCGGTACGGTAGACAGCATCACTAACCACTGTCATATCTGGATGGCAATTCTATTTTAAAAGCCAATAATATTTTTTTAAACATACACACACACATATATATGTTATTTAATAATTGCACTTTTTGAATGGTACGCATCCGAGCAATAATAGCTATTAAAGCTAAAGCTTTGGATAACCGTCTTTCTGCGTAACTGTGTGACCGTAATGATGAAAGTTACAAGAATTTGCTTCTTCGAACGGAGGTACGCTGGCTTTTTAAGGGTAACGTTTTGTATCTTTTTATAGATAATTTTAACATGTGATAGAATTCTTCCTTGAAGTTGACAGATCTATGATGACATAATTAATAAAATTAAAAAATATGTATTCGTCTTTGTTGGTATGTGTTCTCTGTTCAACGCCACAGAAAACAAGCTGGAAGGAAGAGACATGCAGTCTGACTGAAGCTAGAACGATTGTCTTTGATCCTCGTTCTAAAATTGATTCATTTCTATCGACACTGAATCTAAAAAATTCGATTGTTTTCATAAGTAAATTCGATTCTTCTCTATCGAAAAAGACTGGATTTCCCCAAAAGATGTATACATAGAAGCCGTTTGTTAAAATTTAAAAGAATATTTAAATATTCGCTTCCAAGACCCTGAGAACTCATAGAATAGTTGAACTGAGATATATCTCAGCATCAAATTATGATGCAAGAAGAGTTGATTGCACTGAAGGAGGATGTTCAAAAACAAGTCTTATTCAAAACGCGCGGGTATGGCTAAGTTTTGGATTTTAAAATCATCGGAAAGAAATATCCCAAAATAAAAGATGTTGCCCGAACCAACATTATTGACTTTTCCATCTTCTCACCTATCGGAAGCAATTCTTTAGTCAATAATTTATTACGTATTAATTAAGTTAATAATTTATTACAAAAAGCAAGAAACAGGCTGAATATTTTTGAACGAGACGATTTAAAAATTAAGTTAAATTTTTTATTATAAATATTAGAAGCTTGCATCCATGCATCAAGCGCAACCATCATATTGATTAAAATCAAATTATTAGGATCTGTAAATTAAGAGTGTGTAGATTTGTTTCTTATTTATATTTTAAAAATTAAAAATAACATTTATACAAAAAAAACGAAACATAGACCCAATAAAACATTTTTCCAAACTTTTGTTTCATATTCTTGTCTAATTATTATCTTTATTTATGTGCAATTATTTGTATTGAAATTATGTGCTTTCTGTATATTTTGGAGTAAGGAGCTCGATGAAAAAGCCGTCTTTCAAGCAAATCGATGCAAAAAAAAAAAAAAAAAAAAAAAAAAAAAAAGTAGGAAGTTTTTATTTTGAATGGAATTTTATGCTCGTTTAAATATTTAAGTAATTATGAAAAAAAAAAAAAAAAAAAAAAAAAAAAACGCTTTTACGGTCACTCTTTACGAAAAACAATTTTGAATAAAATTATATAAAAATTACCTCATTAATTTAGTTAATAACTTGAAATGTCATAAAAATACGTTTAAAGTATTTAATGAACGTATCTAATTGTCATCGTAAATAGTTTTTAAGGTATAAATGCAATAAATATATAATATTTTATGTCGTAAATACACTGTGTGGAGGAATTTTCTCGCCCATCTTCTTAAAATCTAAAATTCAAATACATTAACAACGTGACTAAAGGTCTAATTCATTAATTAAAAGTAGATCGTCGATTGTTCGAATTTCAATAATCCAAAATTTTCATTACGCTCGTAAAATATTTTGCGTTAATTACCTAGATTTTATGACTTCGATCTTTACTATAGCTTCTCTTTTCCGTTAGCTCGTTCTGGGATGCAAAGGAGGTTAAATAGTATTTAAGACGAGGATTTTGAATGTTTTAGACACAGAACGTTTGACAGTGGCGCTGGCAGCTTCTTTTTTATCTGCCTAGATCTGCTGTTAATATTTTGGCTTTATCAATTTATTAGCAGATGTTAAAATGGTTTCAGTAAGGCGTGTATAATCTCCATGAGGGCAGTGACAAAAATTTCTCCAGAGTATGATG